GCATTTTGGCTCTTTGTAATTCTGCTCATCAGACACCGTTTTCTGTTTTACTCGGTTTATTGTTCTGTTTTTCTTTCTCCTCTTCCTCATCCTTCAGTCCTTACTGTTCTGTTTATTTTGTTTTTTGTTGCTTCTCTTCATGCCACTGTAGTTTGTCCTCAGTTCATCTTTGTCTCTTTCCTCATCCTCACTTCTTTTCATTCCTCAGCTTCAGTTCTTTTCACTTCATCTCCTTGTTTCACTTCATTTATCTCTCTTCACTTATCTTCATTTGTCTTTTGTCTTCCTCACTTCTCTCTCTACTTGACCTCCCTCTTTTTCCTTTATTTCTCTTCACCTCATCAATTCTGTCCTTCCCTTCAGTTTTTATTACTTCGTTTTGCTTCCTTTAGCTTCACTTCTCTCTACATTTATTTTGGATTTGAGCCCTCCTTAAATTCTTCAAACTAACTGTCACGTCGTCCTGCTGGGCTTTCAGCCAGTGATTCCTCGTCTACAGTGTCCCACCCCCTCCACTTCAGTCCTGCTCTGGGTTCTGGTTTCACTGGTCTAATTGATCTCCATCAGGCCTGATCCAGTAAATGAACCCAGTGACCCTGTGATCAGCATTACACACCATGGTGTGGAACGGCCCATTCTCAGGAACGCCTTGAGGGAAGTTCTTCAAGTTTGGCACAAGCGTCCACTTGGATTCAACGATGAACCGATTAGATTAAGGTGGTCAAAGGTCAAGGTCACTGTGACCTCACTTCTGTCCCATACCCATGAATCTGACCGGTTGGTGGAGGTGCACAGCCATGAAGCAGTAATTCTAGTTCTTAGAGGAATAGTTTCAGTTTCAATAAGGAAATGCACTGTGTTAATCAGTGAGCTGGTTCCCCTGCTTCCACTCTTTATACTAAGCTAAGCTAAGTATCCTGATTTGAAAACCCAAAACACACAACATTGTGTTGTACCCCCCCCCCCCCGAATACCTCACTGTTCTCATGCAGAGGCGCTGCACTTCCTCATTGTGGACAAGCTGGGAGACAAAGATGTGATAATCATCCAGGTCTGGATTGGAAACTAGTTCCATGACCCTTTCAGGGAAATGTGTTCCTCTGATTAGTGCCCATCCATCTGCTGTCAGGTTTCCTTTGCTGACCTCTGCACACATTCTTTCCAAGACTTAAGTACAGTCGGTCAGTCGCTGAAGAGGAAGTAGTATTGTTAGACTGAAGGCATTTCCTTTCAGACCAGTTCACTCCAGTTCCCAGCAGGATCTGGAACAAGTGAAGTAATCAGTTGTCCTGTAATAAAGCTGCAGTTACTTCTCACATCAGGGGATTTAGTCTGATTAAACCCTGAAGGAGTGTGTTTTCTCTCCGTCTCTCTGGGCGGAGTTCAGCTCTAATGAGTCTCATAGGTGAAGGAAATGACGAGTGTATTTACTGCTCATACACACACACACATGCAACGTCACATCTCCAGGGACAAACCTGAGCCAAACACCTGAATCTGTAGGTGTAACCTGAAGCTGGGTGGACTCTTCCTCTGAGTAAACAGTGTCTGCGGTCACCGCCTGCTAACACAGAGCTCACAGGTAGCATTAGTTCAGAGCCCAGCAGCCGTCGTCCTGTCATGGCCCTATATGATGAGAAGCATGGCAGGTGAGGGCAGGCCTGTATTTCATAGCCAAAGATACCCTGCCAGTAAAAAGTCTGGACCCCCCCCCATTGAATTCGATAATGTATGTCACTAGTTAAACAACCGGGTTTCCGAAGGTAAGGAGAGTGTATAAATTCCCAGGACAGAACCACTTTTCAGTTAATGCAGGGCGACAGCCAAAGGGCAGCTAGACACGCCTCCCCAGCATCACTGCTGTGTGGGGTGGCTGTTGGCAGAGCCTTACAGGAGCCTGTTGATGTTACACCATGTCGGCTGCAGAGAGCATTGAGCTGTTGATTCCAAAAGGAGTCAGAACAAAGATCATTCCTCCCTGGTTACTTCTATGTGAAACTGAGTCAGGAAGTAGTGTTTGTTTCTATGAGCTGCAGGGGGAATATAATCGGCAGCAGATAAGGAATGATGTCTGGCTGCCCTGAGGAAAAGGCCTGATCACTTGCTGCTGTGAGCCTGTTAGCTCCTACAGTTAATGTTTACAAGCCGTCCTATGTCCTGTCCCCTCCTATGTTTGACCACGCCACCTGAGTAAATGTCACTGCCTGCACCACAACACCGCTGGTCTTTACAGGGACTGTTGTCATGATGCCCTCAGCAGAGGCTCAGTGTGCCAACGCCTCCACATTACACACACACACACACACACACACACACACACACACATATATATAATGCCATAGAGAGCAGTCTGAAGTCTAATGCAGTCGCACACACTGTGGCTGAAATAAACCCTGCAGCCTCTAGGGGGCACCAGCAGCACTTTCTGGGGCCTGTAATTAAAGGACTATAGCATCAGCCGCTGGTTAAAATCAGGCCTGGTGCAGACGTTAACAGTAGGTGGACTGGACCGGAGGCCTGGATGTTGAGGTGTTTACTGAAGGTGTGTGTGTTCAGGTAGACTGCAGTCATGTAGCTCTTGCAGGTGTGTTGGGTGTAAGTAAACTAAATTTTAAAGGGTCACCTTAAACATAAAGACAGCATCGAGGGAAAGCACAGCTGAGGCTGATGGGAATTTATTTTTAGAGCCTTCCTTCCAGGAACCGAAGTGAAGTGTTCCCCTGCCGGCGATGTAGATGAAACATCAGTCTTTCTGGAAAAAACAAACTGATATTAGCTTCCCTGAAATAGAAACATGCTGTTAGTGTGACCAACAGCGGTGCAGCCTTTAATAGACGCAGCACACAGTTTTCACTTGCCCCCTCCACTGGGCTTTGTCCAGCAGATAGTTTTGGTTCTGTGTCAACGTTCTGAGATCTCAGTCTCTGAGGTTTTGGCCTTCAGCCCAGTCCAGTGGAGCTGGCGGAGATTTAAGGAGAATTATGGTGTAGGTATAAATGATACAAATGGGTGAGAGCCTCTTTTAAATGTTGCCCCAGTGTAGATGGAGACAGACTTCTCAGATTTAAAACAGATCAAATTAACAATTCATTAATTGCAACACCTCTCGTTCCTGTAAACATTTCTACACTGGACGCACCAAGAGCCGCCTGAAGGACAGACTGAGTGAACGTAGGCTCAGTGGTCAGTTTATTAGGCAGATCTAGTCCAAACTGAGTCAGTCTAATAATGTGTATAATGTGTAAGAAAAGAAGCTAAGATGACAAAATACACGGATATTCTCACCCCGCCATGGTCAGACCAGCAGCACAGAATCTGTTCTCCTGCTGGATGGATTTCCCTCTTTGAGATTAAACCCCTTTGTCCTCATTTAGCTTTGACTTCACAGTTAAACATTAGGCCTGGACAGTGGGCCTGTGATATGGAACAGCCTTTAGCACATCGAACTGCATGAACCAGAAACACAGAGTAATAATGACGTCCTCCTGTCTGTCTCTGTCTTCAGGTTACGACTTTGCCGAGGTCCTGCGTTGGTTCGGCGAGCGGGTGGACCGGATCGTCCTGCTGTTTGACGCTCATAAACTGGACATTTCCGATGAGTTCTCCGAGGCAATCAAAGCTTTGAAAGGACAAGATGACAAGATCCGAGTCGTCCTCAACAAGGCCGACCAGGTAGGAGGATGATGACGAAGACTTGGTAGGTAGAGCATCATCATTGCTGCTCACCTGTGATGATGTTTATCACCTGTGCTCTCAGGTGGACACACAGCAGCTCATGAGGGTGTACGGTGCCCTCATGTGGTCGCTGGGGAAGGTGATCAATACTCCAGAGGTGGTGAGAGTTTATCTGGGCTCCTTCTGGGCCAAGCCCCTGCAGAACACCGAGAACAGGTCAGAGAGCGTTCAGCCATTCCTTTGGTCGTTCAGTCAGTCAGTTCAAACCCCTGCCAAATATGTCAGAGGGCATCCAGTCACCCATCCATTCCTGTCCCTCCGCCCTCAGGCGTCTGTTTGAGGCAGAGTCCCAGGACCTCTTCAAGGACATCCAGAGTCTTCCGAGGAACGCCGCTCTCCGTAAGCTCAATGACCTCATCAAGAGAGCTCGCCTGGCCAAGGTGAGACAGGAAATGTGTTTGGAGTGAACTTCTCTGCAGTCCTTTAGTTTTGGGGACATTGTGGAATATTTGGTTGTGTGTCCCAGACAGAAAAAATCAGATGTGTGGATGAGTTTGTTGACTAGTGTCATGCCGGCTTTCTTCAGCAAAACATCAAGAAAAGTGAGGAAATGATTTTTAACTTTAGAACAGGAAGAGAAATGCACCAACAACTATCAGAGGTGACTGTAGGGTCTAGACCTTACTCTGTAAAGTGTCCCGAGATGACCTTTGTTGTGATTTGGTGCTATACAAATAAAATTGAATTGAATTGAATTTCACTTATGAAGTGAAGATCAGATTTGGCTGCAGTCCATGAACAGATGATGCTGTGTTCAAGTGCTGAAAAGGAAGTCTGACATCCAGGTCTTTCAACTCAGCTGCTAAACATTGATGCATTCGGGGTAGTGGAAAATCAGTAGATGTTTTCTTGATGCAATCCTAAATCCTGCCTACTGTCTCAGCTGTTTTGGTAGCTTCTCAACAGAAAGAACAGGCTGTATGTGTGGAGCACCACAAGATTCATGGCCTGGCCATTTCTGTTGGTCTTCCACTTTAGTCCAGAATGAAACATGTCAGAGTTTGTATTCATATTCAGACCTCTCCAGTTTGTGCACTTTATTGTGTTGTACATTTAATTTGAGATGGATAAAAATGCTGGTTTGCCCATAGATCTACATTCAGTAACTACAGATGGGCGGATGATGCTGAAACTTGTAGTAAAATGCAATGTTTCAACTGTACTGGTGCTTGTATCCAAAAGAAAAAAACAGAAACATGGCTGATGACACCTGAAGCTTCAAGCATCACTGGTGCTTCAGAGAACATGTCATTAAGTAGAGAGCTGTCAAGGTTTTGCAGCTAAACTACGTGACAGACACATTAGCAAAATAAGAGAACCCTTGAGGAATGTGGCGATGTACTAGAAAGGCATAATCATGAGAGCATTTGCACCTGATACCAAGTAATATCAGTCACATCATGGCTCATATCAACAGTGACGGTGTAGGTCTCATGCTGCACAGTGACACCCTCGTTTGAGGAAGCCCAGCTGAACAATAGTGCAGAGGCTTAATAACGACATGCAGCTTCTTGCACTTCAGTTACACACATATGAGACTCAGACTGTTCAAGTCAGCGAGGGATTATGGAGCTTTGGTCCAAGGCTTTAGTGGCTGCTCAAAGTTTCATAACCCACCAGATGTTGCTGTTCATTGAAGCCCTGAAGCATTGAATCTGTTTTTGGCACAAATGGAAAGAAAGCGCCAAAGCTTGAGGCTTCATTGGCCTGTCACTCATAATAACCCAGGTTGAGTAAGTGAAAACGTTTTTAGACAGTTCTGCAAATGTATACAAACACAAACTGACATCTCTCCTTTATAAAACCATTTGTAGAAGCAGCTGGAGCTTTACTTTTTCAGTTAAGTCTCTACAAGCGCTGCACATCTGGGTTTGGGCAGTTTGTTTTTCCTGCAGATCCTCTCTGGCTCCGCCTGATTGGATGGGAATCACAGTAGAGTGCACATAAAGTAAACATGTCTGAATACTCTCTTCAGCAACTGTATTAGATGGACTGTGGTTCATTCATGTTCCCCTGATGATCAGTAGGTTGACATTTGTGCTTTACTGTGATTTGTTAAATGTGGTTCAGACATTCATGTTCCTCTCAGGACGAGTAACTGATCCTGACTTTTCATCTGGCCCATCATCAGGTCAACATTTCAGTGTGTCCAGTACATAGGTTTGTGACCAACGATCTATAAAACTAATGACATTGCCATCAGCCTCGGCGGGACTGTGTGACTAATGCTAATTAGCCAAATGCTAATGTGCTAGATGACAGAAGTGTAAAATGTAATTATAAATTTCACCTAGTTCTCAAACATAAATAATTCAGCAGCTGCTTCAGGCAACCAAACTGCCCTAAAATACAACAAAACAGAGTAAATTATTTCAAAATCAAAAGATGAAGAGATTCAGTAAAAAGCTGATGCTAACATTAGCTGATGTTTACTCTGACCTTTGGTAAACAAATGTCTCTAAAATGACATAACATCTTTTTGAGAGTATATGTTATCAAAGAGGAACCTGGCTCACTCCAGCCTTTACAATACACTCATTTGGTATCATTTATTTTGGTTCTTCCTTCCTCTATTAATTATTGATAAAAGGCAATTCGGGGCCTTCACTCCCTCTTTTCCTTCCTTCCTTTCACCTCCCATACTGGGTCAGTATGAAGCATGTAAAGGTCTCCAC